TATATGATTACTTACACTCTTCTGCAATGGGGACATCTTGCAAGAGCTGATGCATGTGGAAACTGTAAATTCAATAAAACATTTAGATCTTTAGTGTTATACTAATAGTATACAAATATTGACTGCTCATATGGGGAATGGTGAAATCTTTTGCCCTAAGGTGGTGTGGAGACCATAGCTAGCCTACTATCATAGTAGGCTAAGGTTTGCACATCACCGAGGGGCTATAGATTTCACCATTCCCCAAATCTACAGCAGTCAATTTTTGTTTTACATACCTCATTTATCAATTCTAGAAGGCCTATAACAAAGTAATGAATGGAGTACCCACCAAGTAGACCTAGGCCTACCTAGGACACATCTCATTCGTAGTAGAGGACCATTGGTGCGGTCACAAATTACGCAGCAACGTTATAAGTGGGCCTATGAGATTACATTGTGACAGGGCAAAAGAATACTATCATTTTAATGCGATAGTAATATTTTGTCCAGGACATCAAGAACTATCATTCAGCGTATGTCATAGGAGTGATGGTTGCAGAAGTTACAGTATTAACCATTTTTTTAACCAATTAGATGCCTGGAATCTATGTATGCGGCATACAATACTTATCAATCTATAGTGAATATAGTATCAGATATGGTATGGGTTTAAAGATCATATGGGTAATCATCCCATTTTGATTTATCTTTGAGTAGGTATTAACAAGGTCAACCATAACCGACCCATTTCATTTACACAAACAATATGTAAACAAGAGTTAGTCTATGTCAATTGTAAAACTTGTATGGGTCAATTCACATTGCAATGAGCATAAAAGGAGGCTATATAGGCTTACAGATACTTTTCAGTTTTGTATGCTTGTTTTGACAAGGGAGTGGCTATGTGGTGGTTGTTAGTATGAAATGGAGGTTTTGCCATGCATCGTTTGGTACCTGTGCTAAGTACTGCAAAATGTTCCTATATCAAACAGTAATATATAAATATTTCAATCGATTAGTTTAGGTTAGCATGGGGTATGAATTAAGTTTACTTGATTAGGTCAAATAAAAAAAAGTAGTTTCTTGTAATAATATTTTGAAAAAAGGAGAATGAGGCAATCCTTTTAATTTTTTTTTACTCCGAGATGGCAAATTGAAGAAGGTTAACTGGAAATAGCTTTCTAATTTTTACCAGGTAGACAGATTGAAAGCAAATAACAGAAGTACTAGACATGATTCATACCTCAGATGTATCACCAAACACGGATGACCAATAGAAAAAAACAAATTGATGAGGCAGGGAAAATTTATGCATGAGAATGGACAAGAAACTAGAATTTCTTTATTTGGTCTTATGTGTTATGCAAGTATCTGTAGCCTATATTTTCCACAAGCTACATAACAACAATAAATTGCTTGTGCAACTATTAGCTGGTACCGAAAGCCCTGTGCTTTTATGAGAACAATTTCCTTCAAATAAATATATGAAAAACAAACAGAAACCTTCTTATTTTCATTACTTATACATAATTTGTAAAAGTAAATATGAACGCAATACTAAAATAATATTGTTTGAAGATCTACTTGGTTTAAGTTAAAAAATGTTTCGGTACACTCAGTATACAATTATCACAGGAGATTAATGATGAAAAAAAGTTTGTTCAGAATGGGGTGTACTTCATTCAAGCACTCATGTATAATCATATTGAATGATATATATTATAAAGTCCTGTCCAGACTACAAAATTCTATTAAAAAAAAAAAAACATGTGACATGTCTAAGTATGATCATCATGACATCACATCATGGCCATATATAGGCACATCATGACTATATATGGGCACATCATGGCCATATATAGGCACATCATGACTATATATGGGCACATCATGGCCATATATAGGCACATCATGACCATAATATGGGCATACAACTGTTTTTTGTCAAAGAAAATTTGATTGTGTGGACAGTGCTTAATACTCACCCTGAAAGTCTCATTGCAATGGCCACAGACAACTCTATTTGCAGAGGTGTAATGTGTAATAGAAGTTGGAACACTCATAGGTGAAAGGTTAATAATCCTCTTACTGAAACAAAAAAAAAATCATTATTAAATATCAAACTATTTAAATATGAGTATTATTTAATTATTATTTTTTTGTGTTAAGATGATGCTTTCTTTATATCAAAGCATAAGAAAAAAATATTTAACTAAAATTTATAAGGTAATGTACTGAATTAAGTTTGTCAGTGTCAAAAAAAATCTTCTGTATGCAATGAATATTCACAAATTAAGATGAGAATATGTGTAAGTTGTAAAGTTTCTCTGGGCCCAAAGAGCCAATCTACTTGGATGCCCATTATCCGAGCTTACGATGCCCAAGGGTCCAAGCTCTTTGGATGCCCATCAGAGCTTATGGGGCTCAAGAGGTCAAGCTCCTTTGATCAGAGTTTAAGGAGCCAAGGGGCTAAGCTCCGTGGATGCCCATCAGGGCTTAAGATGCCAAAGTGCCAAGCGCGCCTTGGATGCCCATCAGAGCTTAATGGGCCCAAGGTCCTTGAATGCCCATCAAAGCTTCACTCCTGCACGCTCTTGAATCCTAGAGACCCTACTGCTGTGAAGTATAGACTGACTTACCAGTTGACTCTTGGGCATGCAATGCGCTTAGATGAAGCTTTGCAGATAAGTAAGCAATTGCACGGGCATCTCACATACTTCTTCCCTGCTGGTGCTTCCTTTATAGGCTGCAATAACAATAGGAAACAAGTTAGACAACACAAATTCTAAGGACAAGGAAGGAATAGCATAGTCTGTAGAAAAGTCCTGCCATTTATAATATTTAATAAGTGGTTAAAAAAAAATAATTAAAATTCATTTGGGTATAGTAAAAAGCCAAGTAGGACACACCTGTAGGGCTATAAAAATTACAAGAAAATGCGTATCACGATTCTTCTACTACATCCTGATTCTATTGTCATACACTGTATCTTCACAGTGCTAAATAAACATTGCAGTTCAGTTCAGTGTACTTTTACCAACATTAAAATCGAAATGTATTTGTGTATTGTAAGTTCAATATAAAAACACAAAAATACAAACACAAGCAAACTTATAGTATACACAATAAAAAAATTTAAAAAAAACAATAAAATATGAAATAGTATTAACTGTTGTGTTTGTATACTGCTTAACAGATTGAACTTTATTTTACTACAGTAGTGAATTGTGAGTTTCTAAGGAACAATAACTTGTTGGATGTTTACCAGTGAGAAAACAGAAAAAACACACACATGCTGCAGGTGGTTTATTCGCATTAAAATTCCAATGTACTGTACAATTAAAAGTACAAAATAAAAAAATACAAACACCTACTGTATTATCTAACTTATAAAATATGCAACACAAAAAAAGGCAATAAATAACAACTTTTTTGTGCTGGTTTTGTAATTGTACTGTATACTGTTTAACTGATTGAACTAGTTACAAAGATAACTACTAGTAAATTTCTGAGGAACAATAACTGTTCAGTGAGAGAAAAAAAAAACACATGCTACAGTAGGCACATGTTCGTAGGCATGACAGGGGTAACTTTGCGAAAACTGAAAGGGGACAAGCCATAGTGACTGAATAAGAATTGAAACAGAAAGTTTCAAGGAAATAGCAATCATGAACTCTATACATGATATAATGCCACCAGATACACTCAATGAAAAAAAAAATGGTTTTAACTAGTCATTTTGATGTGTATTTTTTTTTATATAGCTAAATGTAAGTTTAGGGTTCAAGAATGAAGGTCAATGAAAGAAATATTTAATCTTATATTCTAACATACAGCAGCTAAAAACAACAGTGGAAGTGCTTGATATATTTTTAGCTACTTTTCACCAAAGAGTATAGAATTGCAAGAAGTCTGACTGCCCTCATTTTGTATGCACACAACGAAACACAAAAAATAGTACTGTCACATCATACTGTAGGGGACACGTTATCAGAATACAAATAAATTTGCTCGAAACTCATCTTTTGAAGGACACATCACTTCGTGGTAGTACTTCCTGAAATAGGATTCCATTCCAATGAAACCACTGAAGTCGGACCTCTTCTATATAGTTCTATACTCTTTGTTTTTACTCACAAGTTGGCATGGAATTACACATTATTCTGGTTCTTTCATATTTCATAGGCTTACTTAAAATAGAGCCAGCTGCATGTCTCTTCAATTTCACTAAAAAGTAAGACATTTCTATATCTTTAGCTTACAGTAAGGGGCAGTTATAGGTATCCCATTATTCCTCCATCCGGATTGACTCTTACAAGTGTATACTGTAGTTGATAGGAAAGTGTCTACTTGCCCACAAGCAGGCAATAGACCAAAAGTTACTTGGGTCCATCAAAACAGAAAGATATTATATTACATTTTTAAAATCATATCTATATTTATAATGTCACAATATACTGATTAATGTTTATCCAAAAATGTTTTCAAGCAACAGGACACAAATATAGGACCAGTGCTGCATGTATGCAAAAAATCATAACAAACAAGTGTTTGGAAACATATGTTTGCCTGTTTACAATCTACAGTATGATGACATCACATGCACATTAAGTACAGACACATGCACACACGCACACACATATTATACACCATGACAATTGCAAAGGCTCCGATAAAAGTTACTGTAATAGTTTGATAGCGCTTTACAAAACCCATGAACCGGTAATCTTGTGAACATGGTTACTATTATTACTGTACGTTAAATATTCTATGTGCCAAAAATAGAACAAATCATTAGACATAGTTATTTTCAAGATACAAATAGAATGGGAAGCATTACTCGAAATGAGACAAATTGTTGGTGAAATCATATTGAGATATTCACCAAAATAGGTCATAGTCAATATTTTTACAAAATTTAGATTTTGATGTTTTGAATACCTTGATACTTATATTTTATGATTGTATACTTTTGAAGGGAATTTTCTTACTAAAACAGTGTTTTCTACACATATTCTGTAATTCTAGTCCTACAGTACAGTCATGAAATATTGCACTTCTACCTGCGCGCAGGCTTCGTAGATACATCGTAGCCTGATATAAACAATCTAACCTGCGCGCAGGCTTCGTAGCCTGATATAAACAATCTAAGCAAGGCTACACGAAGCGAACCTACGAAGCAAAAGCATGTTGTTTATTTGTATGTGCAGAAAGACTGCTGTAACTTACTGGAATAAACAATGTATTGTTTGATAATTTGTGAATGGCAAACATGAGTTTAGACCGTTAATTTAAAGTATGGAACTGTTTTTCAATAAGAAAAACGTACACTTGACTTCATGGGAGTCTCCTCTTCCACTCGCTGTCCACGACAGGAACGATGTGTATAAGAGACAGTTGATATTCGATGACTTATTTTTTCAGCCATGTGTCAACTGTCTCATGACCTAATGCTGCACTCATTTACAACACACTACTATAGTAATTATTAATTGTTAAAAGAACATTATCTACGCAACACAGTACATAAGATAAATATGGGTGATTTATTCAAATAAACGTTAATTTGCTAATAATATATCATTATCGTACAGTAGTTCCTTAAGTGATAAGCTCACCTGCACCCACCCGTACCTTCGTACTTTTGACCATCCTAAAGGAAGCTATTCAAAGACCAAATAAATGTTATAATGTGATCTACCCAAATATTCTTATAATATAAACTCAAATTTTTTATTTTCTAACCATGAGACTCATTTTGTAGTGAGACCTCCCAAATATTCTCCTTTTATACAGGTTTTGGTTTAGCTCCCCATGAAGCTAAATACCCATGGCCAATCTTACAAGACACTGTTGAAGAAAACCATAATCATGCTAAATACTGCAACGTTAGCAATCATAAACAACATCAACAACGCTAAAAGATTGATTATGATGATATCAACAATGACAACAACTAAAACAATGACATCAACAACAGTGACATAAATACATTCCAGTCAACCTTGAGAAATTTCAAAAAGTAAGATCGGGTGACACATAACGAGTGCCCAAGGCACAAACAGTGGCTGGGGCCAGGGGGCCGCCAAGGGCTCCCGGTCTGGTCCAGGGGCCGGGACGCTTTGGCTTAAATGGCATATCTAATCGATATTAGTGAGTTTATAATGATCTCAGATACAGTTGTTATTGAAAGACAGTTTAAGATAACAAAAGGCATCTTCCCTTCTTATGAAAATTCATTAATACAAATTGAAAAAGAAACAAAATTTACTCAAAATTTTAGGATAAGCGCAAGTTTTGCCAGTGTTTGCGTAAGACCGTAAGATTTGATTGGAATGCACAAGACTTATGGTGAATGCGTACGGGTTGACAAGTCTGTAAATAATGATAAACAACAAACACCAATGACATTAACAATGACAACAACAAAAACACAATACAGTAACAACAGCTAAATATTAATAATAACAATAATAAAAAAAGTATTATACTTACAGTAGCCTCATTGCATGCACTACATTTTACAACATGTTGATGTAGTTTACCATCAAGGTTAATCATAGCCTGGCAGACCCGACAGTTAATCATGGGGGTGACGCCAACCATCGTCGGGGGTGAGTATGGTGGAGGTGATTCTCCAGGCATTACTGGAGGTGGAGGGCCATTAGGAGATGCTGCGTATTCTGAAGTAAAATCAGTTATTATATTAGAAGTATTAAAATAATATATTGTTAAAAAGAAGGTACTGAAGATTAATTCTCTGTATTCTGAAACAATTAAATAATTAAAATAATTTAGAAAATATTTTCACAAAGAAGGTTGGGTATTCAGTTTAATTTGTTCTTTATAGTATGTGAAGTGACATGTAAGGTTTGCTCTTTAAAAAAATAACTATTTAATTAAAGTATATTAAACTTTTCCAGTATGAGGTCGCTTTTTAAGGTGCTCATTAACATACTGTAGCATTAGCATTTGATTTTTCATCCAATTTTATTACTTTTTTGGGGATTGAATCATCACAAGCAATAAGAAAATATGGTGGTTGGTAAAATAGCCTGGTTCACGTCAAACTTTTATCTAGATATATATCCACTTAACTAGTTAAAAGTTTGATGTGAACCACTCAATTATAGCTAGATAAAGGAATTAAGTCGCTTAAGTTAAGTGACTTAACTTTACTAGAATAACGGTAAATTAACTTGCTTAACGGTAAAGTCGGCTCGGAATACAAGGACACGATTACGTAACATAGGCATCTAAGCCAGCGTTGTTGTATTGTACCACCATTATCATCTTCTGGCTGGCAACAATGTACTTTAACAATGCTAACAACAGCATCGAAGTAGTCTCATTAGTCTGGTTTTCAGAAATTATTTGTAATACTATGGGTAAAAACCCAGCAAACGTCCGTTTTACGTCGACATTACCAATGACCTTTGCCCTTTGCATCATCGACCAAGTAATAACGTTAAAAAGTCAGATTGCGTACGTTTTTCCAAGTGATAATATATATTTTTCTTAATAATAAAATCAGATTTATTGTATTTATTTATTGACAATTCGATCTTTTCCATTTCTGCTATAATAGTCGCTATTAATTCAGTTTACCACCAACGCCAGTCGTTAAAATGAGCGCACATGTTTACGATGACGAAATAAAAAAGTGTGTGGAAGTCAGCAACTTATTTGACACCGCGAAGCTAGATTTTCGATCGCTAAACAACACAATTGAGCGATCGAAAAACTACAAAACAGGACAGAAAGTTCCATAAAGTATAGACGTTTTAATGAAAATTAAAACAATATTTTGTTAAATGGAAGAATGCTAGCTAGCGATTAAAATAATTTGTTTATCGAAGGTAAACTTAGCTAGGGCCTAGAGAATCTACAACTTAGATTGCGATAGAACACGCTGAAACTCGTGTTTCAAGACGGGTATATCTAGATAAAGTTCGACGTGAACCAGGCTAATATCTGGTGTACTGTATACCTCAGAGTGATTGATAGTACAGTAGCCCTGAGTAATCTGCTGTACTTCCTTCTTTAGGAAGGACTAGGCTTTTAAGTCAGGACTGGCCAGAGGTTGGACTTGTAATAGTCAGTATATGAACAAATTTAGATATATAATAATAACAGATAGTAAAAACAGGAACACACAGCATTATCTATGTTATCTGAATATTTCTAGAAAATTTATAATGCAAAACAAATCAATTTTTAATAGCCTACCAATACTAACTACTACTAGGCATAGGGTGTTGTTATTGTAGTGTTATTTTATACCATATTATTATAGTCACAAGCTTATAGGGCTTGTTAATTACTAACAGAACCTACTGTACTGTAAGTGATGGCAAGAATGACTACAGTAGCCAACTCTTTAATTGTATGCAGTAGATAGGATTCTTTGCTCAGCGTGATCATTGAAATTTGTAATTTAGTCATGAGTAATTGTTTATGCACATACAGTACTGTAAGTAACAATTAAATTCCAAATCAAATGAATTCATTTATTTCCACAAATATTAAAATAGGTACAAAAATGAATAATAAAAAGTGAATTCTGTTGAAGATGAATAAACTATGTTAATTATATTGTAGTAAATTATTGTTGGAAAGGGATGCAACAGGAAGCAAGCTTTAAACCGGGCGCCACTCAGTTACGAAATTGACAATGTAATTGGTCTATTTCAAAATAAATAAATAATAAAATTAAAAATAATACTTCCACAAAAAAGATTAAATCACAAAATAAAACAAAGGTACACAATTCTTTTTTGGAGCCCTCCATAATGCAAGGAAACTTAATTTTGTTGGCACCACAGGGTAAAGTATATATTTGTGAGAAGGATACCTTGAAAACCAACAGAAAATAGGTGCACAGACTGTAATTACTGCTTATTATATACATTGGTTGTACACTGAGAGTACAAACCGGTATGCTGAATTGTCATGATGACTGAATAGGCCTAGTAGTATAGCCTACGTAGGCCTAAGGCCATTGCTATGTGGCTAGGCAACTATCACAGGTCTACGTTTGGCCTCTGCCTAGCCTCAGAGTCTAAAGTAGTAGGCGTAAGGCCTAGAAAGCAAAGAAAGGTCTTAGAGTCTAGGCCTAGGCCCTAGCCTCGGCCTAACCTAATTAACCTAAGTAGGAAAACGTTAACATAAATTTAATATTTAAGGTACCATGAATTATTTTTTTTAAACCAGATAATTCAGAGGATATGATAATTATACACTGTACACAATAAAATTCATTCAAACATCGATCTATTTAGGAGCTGACGCATTAGCAACCCAACCATCCGTTTACAAAGGCACGTCATGCATCGAACAGAAAACAACAAAAACAGCCAGACTGAAAAAGAGAGTTGGCAATTTTTAAGCCACAGTTAAAGCCATATTTTTAGCTTAAATTTACTGAAATTGTTAAATTTTACTCTACCTGGTGGGGCCTCATTCGGCAAAATTGGTGCCGTTGGTTCACAAACGGGTGGAAGAGGAGTATCATCATAGTTTTCATTATTACTTCCCAATAAAGGTTCATTCTCCGATGCCCGATCGTCCGCCATCATGAAAATTAATCGATCAGGATATCGAGTCACGTGACTCACTTATTTCTCACATGACTTGATTGCATCCAAATTTGTTTTAGTGACACAATACCTCACAATGTTTCACCTTATGGACACAGTGCCCCGATACAGTGCTATTATTAATATGTCATATTAATATGTGCTTTTATAACGTACTTATTTATTTATTTGCACACCAAACTTTAATATACATTATTATTATAAATGTATGTCAAATTGTTAGCTGGGACAACGGACAACGTTTTATCCTTGGGGATTTTCCATTTTTACAATGTTTCAAGAATGTCCCCTGTATTGTGAAATAAGTACAGTCATAGAGATAGGCCTATAATGTAGGCCCTAAACTATAAATAGCTCCATGACACAGTACTAAGGTATGGTTTTATGCACTACAAAGAAACAGCATATTATATTATTATTATTATTATTATTATTATTATTATTATTATTATTATTATTATTATTATTATTATTATTATTATTATTATTATTATTATTATTATTATTATTATTATTATTATTATTATTATTCATTTAATTGAAAGTAGCCTATGTAACTTTAATTACGGTATATCGTATTGATATTATGATATGAACATTACGATATTTAGAATAACAACTGGAGATTTCTTCTTCTTTTATTGTCTTGCTTTCACCATAGCTCTGATGTGGTAGTTTAAAATATATTTTTATTTTTAAAAATTAAAAATTAATTTAAAAAAAACATTTTAAAACTATGTATTAGATTACTACTACAAAACATAATTAAAATTGATCAATACAATGTAAAAATAACCGATTTTTCCCCGGGGCCGCCTATTATTATTATTATTATTATTATTATTATTATTATTATTATTATTATTATTATTATTATTATTATTATTATTGTTATTGTTATTGTTATTGATATTGTTATTGTTATTATTGTTATTATTATTATTGTTATTATTATTATTAGTATTATTACTATTGTTATTATTGTTATTATTATTATTGTTATTATTATTATTAGTATTATTACTATTGTTATTATTATTATTATTATTATTATTATTATTATTATTATTATTATTATTATTATTA